AGAGGGATTTGGTGACACTTTGTATGGAATAGAGTCATGGAACTTGTGATGGGTGGAGAAGAGGCCCCAGTGGGAGTAAAGAACAGCAGAAATGTGTGTGCTGGACAGTGGGTCTTGAGGGCAGGACATCTCCTGATGTGAAATGGTAAAGTAGATTCCTATTCATACTGACCCATATCAGATTTAAATAATATGGCAGTGCTACAAACGTAGGTTTTTCATAAAAAAAATAAACACGTCTTCCTTAAGATCTTTCCTCAAATGAAGGTTTTTCACAAGAAGATTCTGTCACTTGGTTTCTTTTTACGTGTTCCTCATTATGGACTCACCGTGAATGTCATGAATATGTCAGGAAATCTCCCAAACCCACAACAGAGACAAACATAAGAATGAGGAAACTACAAAACTGTGAATTCAAATGTGCAGAAGGAAGAGAAGATTTCAGATAAACTATCTCTGGAATTAATATCCTGAGATGGGAAAATAATAGATAAACAGGAGGCATCTCTTCCATTAATGTAACAGAATTCTACTAAGAAGAAGATATGAAAAGCAGAGAAACTAACCTTGGGATTCTGAATAAAGTACAGATTTGAATGAAACCTTTAGAAGATTAATTAGTAATAAATCCAGAGAATATAGAGCCAAAAGATACGAAGAAAATTTTATTTATTTATTTATTTTTGATAAAATGATGCGGTCAGAAACTGAACCATTGCTTGGCTGCACCACAGCTTGTGTATCCATTCAAGCATTGAAGGTCATCGAGGTTGTTTATGGCTTTTGGCAACTGTGAATGAGGCATCTGTACACATCTGAGTGTAGGCTTTTCCGTGAACATTATTTTCAAGTGCGTTTGGTAAATACCTGAGAGTGCACGTGGTGGGCGTGTTGAAAGCTGGGATCTGCTCTGTCGCTGACTGCACTGTCTCCACCGTGGTTATGCAGTGGATTTCCAGCACTAGGAATCTGGTATTTCATTTGGATCCTCAACAGCAGTGAATGAGCGTTCCTCATGCTGGGTCCCCTCATCACAAGTAGTTACGTTAGTTTAAATAAAAACATTTTTACATTTTTAAAACTGCGGAGTATCTTTGTTGGCATAATTGGCAGTTTCATGTTGGGAAATGATGTTTCACAGATTTTCCTGCCTGCTACTTTGCCGTCCACGTATCTTCCTTGGTAAGGAATTTGTTCAGATTTCCAGGCTAAGTGTACATAGCACAGCATGTGCATATTCACCAGGTTTATTGTCCTGCTCTGTGGCATTCACACATTACCACTGCTGCACAACCGTGTCCACCGTCCATCTCCAGAACATCTTCAACGTGTGAAACTGACACTCTCTATCCATGAAAAAACAACTCCCAGTCCCCCGTTCCCAGCCCTTGGGAACATCATCCACTTCTGTGTGCACAGATCTGGGTCTTCCAGGTGTCTCACTTGAGTGAACCCACCCCATTTGTCCTTGTGTGTGTGGCTCACCCCACTTATCACAATGCTTTCAAACTTCATCCATGTTGTAGCATGTGTGAAAATTTCATTTATTTATTTGTTTATTGAAACATAACTGATTGT